TCCGATCTTTTGTTGAGTAGATTTTTGTCGCGAGATTTTAAAATCAGCAGCTTCTCTTGCAAGCATAGGTTGCATCTGGGTCTTCCGTTTAACCCACCTTACAGCAAAAACGTAGCAACAAACATTGGTAAAACCTTTCTTCAACTTATCGACAAACATTTCCCTAAATCAAGTCGTCTACATAAGATCTTTAACCGCAATTCAACCAAAATTAGTTACAGCTGCATGAAGAATGTCAAGACAACCATTTCTAACCACAACACGAGAATTAGATCAACCGAACCCACGGCAACAGAAGAAATTAACTGTAACTGCCGCAAGAAAGATGAATGCCCCCTCCAGAAGAAATGTCTGACCCAAGCTATCGTGTACCAAGCCGAAGTAAAGAGTCACGACAACGGTGAAACGAAGCGGTATATTGGGGTAACAGCTGGGGAATTCAAAGACAGGTACAGAAACCATAAAAAATCATTCCAGTTTCAGAGATATGCGAACGAAACGGAGCTATCGAAGCATATTTGGAAATTGAAGAGAAGCGGAAGACCTTACAACACCACTTGGTCCATTCTGAAGAAGGCTGTCCCATACACAAGCGGAAGACCCAGATGCAACCTATGCTTGCAAGAGAAGCTGCTGATTTTAAAATCTCGCGACAAAAATCTACTCAACAAAAGATCGGAAATCTTCTCGAAGTGCGTGCATCAGAAACATTTTTTAGCGGGAAATGTAGTCTGCGCGCGTGTAAGCAACATCAACAATCCTCGCGCGCGCGCGCAGTCACGCCATCAAACAACGAAAATCAAACGGTATTTGAGAACAATGTCTCCTGATGATCGCAGTGATGCGTGAAACTCGGAGTAGAGACAAAAAACATTTTAAGTAAGAATAGTAATTATATGTATATATATATATATATATATATATATATATATATATATATATATATATATATATATATATATATATATATATATATATATATATGTATATTCCTGGTGAATAAATTCCTGACAATAGCAGATGCTGAGGAAGCTTATCAAATTACCTATATGGGCCCTTCCAATCTGTCCAAACCTTATACATCTGGGGCCGGTTGTATAAAACTCTTAATCACTTTTTAATCACTATTTGGTAGTTAAATAGTGATTAACTCTCAAATACGCGCTTCTTATTGGATGACGTTTCCACTAACTATAGTTAACTTTAATCACTTTTTTATACAACCGGCCCCAGCAAGATCTCCGATGCTACGATTGTCTCCATCAAGTGGCCAAAACCTTGTTCACCTCCCTGCTGATGTTATTGATATGATGACTTCTGACTTTTCAAAACTAACCCATCTACAACAAGAACAACTGCTCATCCACCTGTCTCAAAAATGGATGGTAAAAGTTAACCCTGGTTAAGATGCTAAATTTGTCCCTAAACATTTCCTCACACTTGTTGCCAAGGCTATATCTGTACTTCATGCTGGTAGAAAAGATAATCTGATTTATTACGCTGCTCGATGCTTTGGAGAACAACGCCATGGAGATGTTGGTCATAGAATGTCATTGGATATAATGCCCTTTGGTTTCATTGCACATAATCTGAAGATTTTTGCATCCAACAAAATCTCCAGCCTTGACGCTCCAGATGACTGCAGGTCTTGGTGCCAGTCCATGTATGCTTTGTTTGGAAACAAGTGGGGCTCAATGCACTTGGGGCCTATGTGGTCCTGTGAGTTAGAAAGGCAGCATGTATCGGTTACTAATGATGTTTTTATTAAGTTTAGATATCATAAGCCAAGCATTACAAGAAACGTTTGGAGATGACTCGGATGTAGTAAGTATGGAAAACGCGTTGCTTGTCCTGAAGAATGTGCAAGATACTAGCTGTAACGTCCACACCTCGTTCTAAGTTTAAATTGACCAACCCTTTATTAACTTACTTTATCGACTTTTACACAACATACATGTCCACTAATTATTCATGCAAATTATTCATAATGAGTTCGTAATAAATAAAAACATTACACTAGCATTGCTGATAATGTGGTAAGGTCAGGAAGGACCTTAACAGACATCTGCTTTAACAGACATCTGCTTTGAAATTTCTTCACAATGCCTACCCAAATGGAAGGTGGTGGTTGAAATCTGATGATACTGACATTCAAGAGGGACTCAGAGAATCTATGAGAAATGAATGGTCAGGTGATGTAGATATAGGAGATGGTAAGTTAGGAATTAAGTAGTACAAATACTTAGAATACCTTCAGCTTGTCCACAATATAGAGTTGAAGGACAGGGCTTCCTCTGACAACATCAAAGAAGACCTTCAACAGATGTGTTCTAAGCTATCCTCAGAGAAGATTTCCTGACAAATGTTCATGCAGATGCCAAAAAGTATTACAAGAGCGTCCACGATATGGCCAACTCTACAGAGAAAGCATTGCTTGCATGTGCTTAAAATGTGGACGAGTTCAGTAAGTTGCTGGAGAAGAATGCCTACTTGTTGCAGTCTTTGAAAAACCTCATAAGCATCATCGACAGAGGAAACACCCGTTCTATAAAGATCGGAACAACTCTGGTTTATCTACGTAAAGGTATTAGTAATTACTAGTAATTTTCAGGAATGTTATTGTAAATAACTTGTTATCTTTACTTGTATGACACGTCATAACAATTGTCGTGGACAGTTATCGGCAAGTCCTTAAACATCACTATAGTTCAATTTAATGTTCTCTTATAAATATGTATTAATGTTTCAGGAATTACCTCAAAGACACGAGTAACAGCATCTAACATACTGATATTCTTGGTCAGTGATGAATGGAGAAATTTCAAACCATATGCTATTCCTGTTCGTGGTCTTAAGTACAGCAGTCTGACAGACAAGAATGTACGTGACCTGAAGGAAAAATTGAAAACTGCAATGTAAGACATTGGCATGGTAACTGTAGGAATATACCAATTATGAGTATTTTTAATGTTGTATAGTTACCGTATAATCTCTATTAAGCCCCCCTCTCAAATAAGCCCCCTCTATAATAATTAATACGCCCCCTCTCTAATAAACCCACCCTTTTAAGAGGAATGAATTTATTAAACCCAACTGTCTATTAATCCCCCACCACCACTCATATGAATATAAGACATTGTACATAACATGCGTTATAATACGTACTATATTAACATGTTATAGTATGATAGAATTGTTAAAGATGGAGTTCATAATCGATGCTTGTGAAAATTATCTAAGATTTTACGGATAACTAAATAAGCCCCCACCCCCCGCTCCTCTCTAATAAGCCCTCCTCAATTTATATTAAATATTGTATCCAAAATGTATATTCATGCTGTATTATGTATTTCATTCAAAGTTTTTGTTACTGATGGTGAGTTAAATTTATTGCGAACACAAGGTTTAAGATAGACCTGTCTCAGTTATTCAGATGATTATGGACGCCAAGAATGAAGCACGTGCGATACCTGCAAAGGAGATTGATAAATTCTTCAAGTCTGTCAAGAAAGGTATTTATGCTGTAGTATTGTTGTATCATACCATTAACATAAATACCCTGTGGGATACAGTATATACAAGAAACTGCCATTTGCTGTTAGTATTAAATAGCTATTGGAGCACGTTCTGTATGTAGTATTCTTAATTTGGTATAAGCTTATATATAATATTTGAAACATATTGTAAGTTCCTTTGTTTAAGGTGTTTGAAGCGAATCGTACATTATTAAACATAGTGAGTTGTGGACGTTCTCTGGCTAAAATATGAATTGAAATACAAGCTTTCGACTGCCAGTCTGCAGTTAAAATGAACAAAATCATATATAGGGTGGTATAGAATACAGATTTTTGATCAAGAAAGTATCACATTTATAGCTCATTAATCATTTGGTAAACTCATTTAGCTCATTAGTCTATGTACAGTATATATACATTATTACTAATTGGAAACCACTATATACAAATTTTTCATCGTAAATTGCCCACCGTATACTGCAGACTGGCAGTCAATTGTGGCCTTTCACAGGCAAAACTACACCTTTTGTTAATCACAGAACACAAAAGAACTTAGTGAGTTGTTGCTGTACAGGTAAGGTATTTATGACACGATAACATATGCCACAAACAAGAGTTACGTTACTTCTCAATCTCTCAACTTTACTCATTTACAATTTTAGCTACCATATCAAGATTAATCTCAAGTAATTTACTTGCAATATAATGTACAGTAAATTACATATTTTTTTCTTATGTCTAGGTAAAACTGAGTCGAAATCTGGCTGTTTGAAATCCATTATGGCGATGTACCTCCTCAAGAATAAAGTAAGTATGTACTGTGCACAAGGTGTTAACTTTCAGGATTATTTGTACGTGCCAGAGGTGAGAAACGCACAGGTGATCCTCAACAAGAGCGTGAAGACCACAACCATGTGCTGAAGAGAATAGCTGGCAGTTTGAGAAAGGGACATATCCCCCAATGTGGATCTTCAAGCATTTGTCAAGGCTATGAATAATGCAGAAACAGGTTTGACCTACACTCCATTGACAGGTAAGAGAAAGCAGAGTGTGGGTGACGCCGAGAAATTGTGGTCACCTGAAGTTGCTAAATGGTTGAAAGTTAACGGTTTCTTGAATGAAGGTAGTTTTGTAGAGATGGTATCAAATTGGTACAAGACAAGTGATGGTCGTGGACTGACGGAAGCTGACCGTAAGAATGTACAACCTGGCGATGTTGGATGATATATTGTAAGACTGGATGCCATGGTACAAGGAAGAAAGAGATTATTCAACATTAGATGGCAACAGGTACACGTGATGCGCCCTTCTTTGTTCTTTTACTCTGTCTAATGCCAGACAATTTTAATCGTCAAGGGGAGATCCTTTTGTGCTTTAATGAGTTAAAAGAGTTTTATAATTGAGAATTGCAATAATTTCAGTGCATATTGGACATACTGTAATGTACTGTACTAAATTTAATGTGCACTTCTGTTAATTTATAGACCTATCAGAGGAATTAGAGGATTCACTAGAGAAGTTGTGGTCGCGCTAACAACGAATATTGAAAGTCAGGTTTGTTTATAAATGTCCTTTACTAATGTGAGGAGAAATGTGCAATCATTTCATAATTACAGAATATACTATTGTTACAGGAGTTCAGACGGAGATATGGACTCGAAAAGGGGCTTCTTCCTGAACATCCAAGAGCAGGATCGACTGATGATCTTGAAGGCATTTTTTCTTTCTTGCATGGACTGCTTGGACCAATTTTCGATGAAAAGGATTTTCATGATGCCTTCCCGAAAGTTATTAGGCGAGTACACCAAGAAATGTGATCCTGACTTGCCCTTTTACTCGAACACTGGATCCAATGACCGATATAGTGAGGGTTTAATACAGTCATTTAACCTACCCTCGAGCAGTGTTGAAGAGCGACTGGATAGTGTATCGATTTCTAGACGAGCTGATTCTGGGGTTTTTAACTTTAATAAACTTATTAAGGTGGCTCGCTACAGTTTATAGAAATGTTGAAAATGCGTAAACTAGATCACCTTTTTGAAGAGATGATGCTCTTTACGAATCGAAATTTGTATATTATATATACAGCGACAATTAAACAGTCGAAAATTGGTCAGAAAAGTGACGTCACCACTGTTGCTATGGCAACAATGACGATTCAAGATGGCCGATATTTTGGCTTCGAACGCATTTTACTCTAAAAAAAGGTAGGTTACCCGCATTTTTTATTTCAGAAAACATTTTCTTATAGTCCAATACACTTTCTGACTAATTTAAAAAAAATTCTGTAATGCCAAATTTTTAAAAAAATTATAAACATGGTTTTTCGAAATATTTTATTTTTGCATTACAGAATGATTTTAAAATTGGTCAGATAGTGCATTGCACTATAAGAAAATGTTTTCTGAAATAAAAAAATGGAGGTAACCCACCTTTTTTAAGGTAAAATGCGTTTAAAGCCAAAATACCGACCATCTTGAATCGTCATTGTTGCCATAGCAACAGTGGTGACGTCACTTTTCTGACCAATTTTCGACTGTTTAATTGTCGCTATATATATAATTTACAAATTTCGATTTGTAAAGAGCATCATCTCTTCAAAAAGGTGATCTAGTTTACGCATTTTCAACATTTCTATAAACTGTAGCGAGCCACCTTAAGCTTCACTCCCTTTTCACATGAAATCAATTGACTATTCTGATATTAATATGCCAATAACAAAATGTAGAATAACAACAGCTCAAAATTTACTGTATAAGGTCATGATAAGCCGTTGCTTGTAATATTTAAAATAACACAACAATCCATAATTTACAGTAATTAAACAAGTTAAAATAAATCAATAACAGTATCATAAAACACTTCAACACCATGGCAAAAGATATTTTATGAACTAAAGTGCTAATAATGCCTTAAAGGCACAGTTCAGCCTGTTGAACGATGGTTTTTAAGGCGCATTTCAGCCCTGTTAATTGAAAAAACTAACTAGGAAAATCAATTAAGCATAATTCAAAATCAGTAAACTCGATATTTTTAACAATATGAATGTTTTAAAATGTTAAAAACATTAAGATTGGTGATCTTGAATTATGCTTGATTGCTTGATTGATTTTCCTAGTTAGTTTTTTCAATTAACAGGGCTGAAATGCGCCTAAAAAACCAGCGTTCATCAGGCTGAACTGTGCCTTTAACCAACGGCATACTTCGTGTTTGACGGCTGTAATTGCTCCCCGCAGGGTTTTTGTTCCAGAGGGCCTAAACCCGAGGAGGCATATATTGAAGTCCCCGCACATAATATGATCGGTATATATCAGAGGCAGAGAAATTTAAGTTTTTAAGTTTTTTGCCCGCAAAGCATTGGTGGGTAATATCGCAAAAACAATGGGGGGGGGGGGTTGAAGTCCCCACACGTAATATGCACTGATATACACTCAGACATAAACATTGTTTAAGGTGGCTCCCTATAGTTTTAGGTCTGTGTCGCGGAAATTTTGTCCACGCGCGAGATTATAGTAGTGCTACACGCAACACGCGTGGTCGACGTTGCACGCTTGGCGGTTTTTTATCATTTGAAGGAATTATAGATAAGATTACTGTGTGCAAAAAATTAAAAGGTTTTACCGAATAATCATCAAAGAATCTGCAAATTGGCCCTTTTTAAAATCGCTTTTCAGGGACTTTTAACGCCTTTTTTATTTTTCGTAATTGGCGATATGGTAGCAGTTAGGAAGCCAAGTTTCGTGATCATACTTTGCAAGATGATAAAATAATATTTTTTGAATTGTACAATCAAAACTGTAGGGATCCACCTTAAGGTCAAGCATAAGTTATTAAAGCTATCAAGATTAGAAGCAACTGAGTTCGTATATTACAGTAAAAGGCCACAAGTGACACAAATTTTAAAACTGAGGGTTCAAAGTTTATTATAAAAGGCAAGTGAATTCAGTATTGGCGTAGCGACGTAGCTGCCGAGCTGCGCAAGTTTAAAAGGAGAGGGTTCAAAGGTTGCTTTCTGTAAGAATTATTATTCGCTTGGGTCCACTATGGGTCAACACCTTGTCAAACTGCATTTTATTTCTATGGTCTATTTTACGTGTCTGCTAGAAAATATATGCATGCAGAAACTCTCGCCTTGCTGACAAAACTATTGTATTTTCCGAACATGAAGTATCTAAAGTAGTTGTCACGTTACCTTGACAGCATAAATGAAAGACGAGAAGTTGAAAACATACCTTCCGATGAGCTTAACGTTCTTTGTGTCGATTTTTCATGTCCGTAAAGAAGAAAGACGGCAGCCATTACGAACCCGTGTCTTTGACTTCCTTTCACCGAAGTTTGCAGCGTTTCTTGAACGACAAAGGCTCCACTCTATACCTGCTAAAAGACCAACAGTTCAAAAAGTCCAGAGAAGTATATTGTCTGCCCGAAAAAAAAACTGTTGGTTGTGAAAACGCGAAAGGAAACCGGCCTCAAGCAGCCCGATAACTCACAGCCGAAGAGGAAGACATCCAGAAGCCTTGCAGAGAACGGTATGATGGCTCTTCTGGCTACATTTTGGCTTTCGTGCACGAGACGAGAGCAGGCAATTAAAGTGGGTAGACGAAAAGCTTTGTAAAGACCAAACGACTGGCAACGTGTTCTTGCTTTGGGAAGCAGAAACAGGATGCAAAACAAGGCATGGAGACGGTTATTATCGAGCATTCAACCACGTGGCCCAAGCTACAAGCAACGACCGATGTCCGGTAAAGTTTTATAAAGAATTCTGTAGACGTGGCCCAGATGAAATGAAAACCGCCGAGTCTCCCTTCTACTTGGCGATCAAACGTAAACGAATGCCTCAAAATCCAAGTTTTTTAAGTTTAGATATAGGTAATGAGAACCATATTGGTGTCCTAGTAATAAATTTATGGCACAACAGTCCCTAAATGTTAGATAAAAATGTAGTGTGAAATATGATAGTGTAAAGGCCTCGTGTTGTTGGCACAATGCGTGCTTAAGATAAAAAATTTTATATGATAAGCCTGAGAATAAAAAATAAAAAACACTTGTATGTGTATAAATGTGAACCTAAGAATTGTAAGTGTAGGTGTAGGCTTTTGGAACAAAAAATGGAGATGCGTGTGTGAAATTGTAACGGTAAAATATCCTGTGGTGTAAAATTTTTTTAGATCATACTCACCGAGCATAATCTCGCTGTACTAAAAAGCTTGTATGGAGGTATCTTTGGTATGGTAAATATCAAAACATTAATATTCATCTCAACCACCATATTTCACCGTTTCAATTAATACAAATATCGAGAAATATTAAAATGACAGACAAATTTCGTGGCAGAAAACTTTTTGTCACAAACTGTGCCACGTAGCATTCACACTACTTAACACTCACCACTGTCACATCCATTTCGAACTACCGTTCACCTTTCAAAGAAGGAGAAGTAGACGGAAGACAAACTTTGTGGCAAAAAATCTTCTGTCACAAACTCTGCCACGAAGCTATCAAAACACAATATATCCTTCGCTATCCATTTGAAACAACTTTCAATAATATTTTCAACCGATGTTTCCACTTTCATCAGAGACATATTCATACAACATCGATACACCCAACCCACTCGAAACTTCCTAGGCCCACTCCCTATTCAACACTTTTCAATCAACTATTCTGAGCAGTAATCCCAACCTAACCCAATCCCCACCGGAACCTTAACCCAAAACCTTATTCCAAACCCTTATAATCCAAACCCTACCATTCATGTCTCTTTTTAGCTTGAATGTTCAGACGTATGTTCAGACTTATGTATCACTTATATTTCATACCATTTTACAACTCATATATCACCAGTATCATCACTTTATATCTACATTATAAATCAAGCTTCACCAACATCATCACAGTCCATGCATTATCATAACATAATTCACTAAAATCATCATTATCTACACCATTCCAATTCTATCAGTCACATTGATCGAAATTTCATTTCACTCCACACACCATTTGATGTTCACCCAATAGAATGTCACAACAGGTCAGCAGGGCCATCTCACAGCATTCCAGGATCTGAATACCTGCAACCACCTTTTTTATCCAATTCCAAAAAAACAAACAACAGTATGCGAAAAGCCCAAAGGTTAATGCAGTCAAAAATGCAGATATCCAGGGCAATATTACCAATCACAGTGTGAGATAAACATGTATTTCTCGATTAATGGAAGCCAACATCCCTACCAACTACGTAGCCCAACTGTGTGGACAAAGAAATCTCAAAAGCCTTGATTCGTATAAAACAGCATCCGTTGTACATCAGCGAAAAATGTCCCGTATTCTCAGCCGTTCGGGAGAATAGTTTGGCCAAGAAAACACCAGAATTGACCAGGCAATGGCCCCATCTTCAAACACAATCGCTAAACAAATCATCACAACAACAAACTCAGTTCCGCCATTGGCATCGAGCTTATTTTCAGCTGCTTCGATCGGGAAATTTGATAGCTGTACATTCAATTTCAACTATGCGAACAGTGAATAACCAATTAAACGCCGACGAGTTATCATTTCCGATGATTCGGATAGCTATTGAAAAACTTTGTTTCGTTTTCCAATACATTAAATGGTGTAAAAGTTGTTTTTAAACGCACTTTGTTTTTTGTACTTGATTAATTTATACAATTGTTCGATGACTGACTGTTACATTGACCGACGTTGACGTGGACTTTGAGCAGGAATTATACATGCATATGAACCGCACGTACATTAAATTAAAATAATTAATTATGTAATTTTGCAAATAATTTTAATGATGGATAAAATAATTGTACTGTATTTTAATTGAATTATTTGTTTTCTAAAGTAAAATAATTAAATATAAAAAAATTTTATTGTTTTGTTTTCTATATGCGCAATCTAATAAAACCGTTGCCATTTGCCTCTGAGTCTTTGACAAAAAATAAATACGTTAAGTAAAAGTAAAATAAATACGTTATTAATTTTTGTCTCGGCAAAATATTTTTTAATAACATATATATACGTAATACAAGCCTCAATTTAAGGTAAAATTCAACCACAAACGCTTCGCAAAACGTTTTAAAGTCACTAGTGTTCTTTATAAAATTAAACTGCCATTTGAAATGGCTTTATCGATAAACTTTGAATTTGCAATAAAATGATTTCAAATTCTCGCTTTAATTTAAAAAATTCAATATCATAAAAAAGGGAATCAATATTAAAGATACACTGAAATTATGTGCTGTTTTGTTTAGTCGTTTCATTGCAAAGGCCTTCGGGTTTTAAAGCCATTATAAAATCAATATTTAAAACAAACTTACCTTCGTTAACGTCGGCTCCCTTCTTTTAGCCGATTCTTTCGCTGTTTCTTTCTGAGAACTTTTGAAATTTACAAAATCTTGCAAACACACCCAACACCTAAACATCGTTGTCACCCACGCGCGCGATAATTGATGAACTTTAGACTTCGCTAATGCTTTCGCTTCCCCAGGTGCATTTGTCGTATTAATATTTTGTTGCCAAGAACATTTTGTCGTATTAATGTTTGTGAGTCATAAGGCATGATCATTTTAATTATTATTAATTGAAAGCAATTCAAGAGTTTTGACTGGTCAAGAGCTGTGGATGAATTCGTCATATCTGTTCGGTGGTTGCCCAAATTTGGAGTTATGACATCACCATTGACTATTGAAAACACATATACGACATTGTGATGTCACACTAATTTATGCTGCTTATATTCCAAAAGCTGGAAAATACAAATGGCTTCCTCAAAGGAAAGGTTCGCCGACCTTGGGGAAGCTGAAATCAAAATATTGCTGGAAGAAAAAGACTCAGTAAACAAAAAAGCGATTTTTGAAGAGTATCTACGAGAAAAGAAGCTTGACCATCCAGAGAATAGCGAAGAACTTGCTTCGGTTCTCAAAAGCTTTTATGCTGAAGTGAGAAAAAAAGATTGGTCAGAATACACAAAAAATTCGCTGTGTTACATAAGATTTGGACTGAACATATACTTTAAGTCTGTTTTCAACAACGATATTATCAAGGATAAAGAGTTTGAAGAAGCAAATGGCGTGTACGAGGCTCATTGCGTATATTTAAAGAAACGAGGACTTGCCAAAACTGAACACAAGCCACCAATAGCCGACGAAGACATTAAAAAACTATACGAAAGCAGCGTTTTCAATACAGACAGTCCAGCTACTTTGCAAAACAAAGTCTTCTTTGAAATTATGTTCTTCTGTCGTCGAAGAAGGCAGAATTTCGGTGAACTAAAGAGTGACGACTTCGCTATTAAAACGAACCCACAAGGGAATGATGGTTGTCAACGATAGTCCCTACTGCCCTGTGTATTCGTTCGAGAAATATTTGACCCATCTTAATCCACCCAACGAGTATCTTTTCCAATGATCGAAGCGTTGCAGTCCTTCTGACGAGATAATTTGGTATGACAATATGATCGTCGGCGAAAACACGCTTGGCAAGAAGATGAAAGTACTATCAAAAGAAACAAAGCTTTCCGTTGAATATACCAACAACTTGATTCAACCAACCGCAATTACAATCCTCGACAGAAATGGCTATGAAGCAAGACACATCATGTGCGTGAGTGGTCACAGGAGTGAGAGCAGTTTAAAGAGCTACACTAAAACTGGCGATTTAAAGTGCATATCACCCAATTTTTTTTATTTAATTAATGGAAAGTAGAGCCCTAAAATAGTGGCAATTTCCAGGAATATATCCATTTTGTATTGATTTTCGTATTTTTTCTGAGGCTTCAAACTGCAAAATAGTGCATATTTTCGCACAATTAGCTTTTGGCCGAGCGAAATGATTTCTCAGGAGATTGGGCCGAGTGACGTAGCAGGAGTGACTCGTGTTTGCAATAATTTGCAATTTGTATTTACATGTACACCGCAATACTCCGCTATTGAAATTGTCTGGCTTTTTGCACGAGAAAATGCCCAATAGATGTGTAGCTGGTGGTTGTTCGAACGTTCCTGACCTTTCCAGGAATATTGGTCTTCATAAATTTCCCGGCGAAAACGATCTGGAGAAGAATAGACGGAGACTTTGGGTAGCTTTTGTGCGGACAAAACGTGCAAAGTGGTCGCCAACAGCTACCTCCCGGCTTTGTTCGCAGCACTTTAACGCTGATGATTTTGAAAGCCCGTTTATAACGATACCAGGAACGGATTTTGTAAGTCGTGCAGTGTTGAAAAAGGATGCTGTTCCTTCCATACACCACCAGAAGGATCCTGAACCTGAGATGGCTGATTCGCAATCAACTAGAAAGCATCGCAGTGTAAGTGCAAATATCAAATATGTACTGTATATACTGTTCATTGCTAATATTGTCACGTTTTTAAATGGACTCACTTTCTCACAGATATACGTCATTTTCGTTTGAATAGGTTATAAGGGGATTGCTAAAAGAAAACGAGGCCAAAACCAGCGAGGCAACCAGCGAGGACACCGAGGAAGAAATATCAACAAGTACAAATGTTGCATTTCCGTCAGAGCCTGATTTAGCAGTTGACTGCATTCATCATGTGGAACAATCTTCCACTGTAAGTCAAAATACTTATGTATTTATTCCAATCAAAATATTACTGATCTCACAAATACATAAATTATTTCGTAGACGCAAGATGCTTCCAGTCAAACACCCGAGTGTCTAGGTTGCAAAAAGTTATCAAGCCAGCATCGCCAGCTCCGGAACAAGATCATTGATCTCCAAGGGAAGATACAGGACCAGGAAACTGAAATTCAGCAACAAAAAGGTAAAATTAATTTTGTTTTCACTAGCTACTAAGTTCTCAGAAATATTCACATTGTTATTGATACTCCATAAGATAAGATGTTGTTAGCTATGGGTTGATAACTCATTCTTAGACTAACAGCTTGCTTCCTCACTCTCAAGGGTGCCTCCTTATATGTACAGTATGTGGTATCCCTCCCCAGATGAAATCAACTGATCATTACCTGGTCTATTTCTATCTTTATTCTTTTACAGTTTTTTATTTTAAATAATATGTACATTTAATGTCAATGCTCTAAATGTGACATATTTCATTACAGAGAGTCTAGATACAAGTATGGACAGGATAACCTCTATGGAAAAGATCATTGTTGACAATGAGAGCATCCCAAGCAGTGATGAAGAAATGGAAATTGAAGAGGAGCCTCAGTTTTCTGAAGCTTCTTCGCCCGAGTACAACCTATTTCCAGATACGGAATCTAATAAAGATTTGTCTGAATCAGAGTTGTCTTCAGATGATGATGAAGTTGAAGAACCACGACCTACAAAGTAAGTGGTCCATATGGATGAACTGAGTTAGGGATTCATGTGCACAATTTAATGCCGACCCTTTTATGTATGTTTAATGACTCAAACAATCATTTTACAAGCCCAAAATACTGTATTACCTTATTGCAAGTACTGCCAAAATGGGTACTGCAGTTAGAAATTTTGAAGGTACTGTCCAGTATACAGAACGTGTCTTGAATTTTTTAGCTTACCATACCTGTAAAAAATTTTAAACAAACAAATATTTTTTTGTTTCTATTGTTGCAGGGTATCAACCAATTCTGAAAATGTACGAACCGAGCCAAAGTTCATTGTTTTCCTCTCCCAACTACTGCTCCTGTTCAATATCTGCCCGACATGTAAATTTGAGAAGCCTTTTGTTGAGACAAGTGTGATTGGTACCATGGTTAAAGTTAAAACGCAGTGCTTTAATCTTCACTGTCCATCACCTGTCAATTCCTGGAAAAGTCAACCAACCATGATAGGAACAAAAATGTCAGCAATGAACTTCTTGCTGTGTTTTTCAGTCTTGGTGTCTGGTGCTTCCCCATCAAAAACATTTTTAGTCTTCAGGAACATGGGTCTATCATGTATTTCTTTGAAGACTTACTTTAAACATCAAGCTGTAAGTACATTATTTTGTAACAGTTCACTCACAAATTGAGTACCGTACCTTAGCATCATTCTAAGGAATTTCAAACTGTATTATTTAGAAATACTGTATGTAGGACTCAATCCTCCTCACTCCAGAGATATATGCTTATATGCCCAGACGATTATAGAACAGTTTGGAGAAAAATGTTTATTGCTGAGTGCATGAGATGCCACTCCATATCCTGGATAGTTTGATAATTTAATGTCATACCATTCAATGTCTTTTTAGAAAAAACTTTTCCCAACAATCCATTTGTATTGGAAGAAATACAAGCAAGATACTGTAAGCAAGCTGAAAGCAACTGGGCAAAATTTGGCTATTGCTGGTGATGGTCGGCATGACAGCATGGGTCATAGCGCAAAATACTGTGCATACACTTTATTTTGTTGCACAGTTCCACTTATCGTTGATTTTTCTTTGATTCAGGTAGGCTAATTAACCCATTGAGCGCCAGCGCACTCTGATTAATTAACAAGTAAAATTGTCTTGCATTCAACATTGTAAAATGCAAAAATAGGGAACAGTAGGGTGCTTGCAGTGCAACTTGATGGGATGCACCCTACATTATTTTTATTTTTTGAATGCGAGATGGTTTTCACATCAAGTGTGCAGTCCTGTGTATTAATAGGTTAATTACTATCCTAATTATATTTTTACAGAGAAATGTTGCAGGAAGCAGCCAAGCGATGGAGATGTTGGGGTTTAAGTAGTGCATGGACAGCACAGGGCGAAAAAACAGATTTGCACTAGGCTTTGCAACCCGGTGCAAAGGTGCCATTGCCGTAATCGCATCAAATTTGCAAGGTTGCAAATATTTTGGCAAATTTAGAAACCAAATTATGGACGAAAATACCCACAAATTCACTTGTGCAAATAAAAGTTAATTTGAGCAAAATTTATCCTATACCCATTCCCTCTCAAAAAAGAGAATTGTATTTACCAATATGAGGCTAAAAATTTATTTACCAATTTGCTTTCCAAATTTGAACAAAATTTGCACAATAGCAAATTTGATGCGATTACGGCAATGGCACCTTTGCAGGGGGTTGCAAAGTTGGAGCAAATCTATTTTTTCGTCCTGTGCAGCCTACTGGTGTGCGGGATTGTCTTTGACACCTTCATCACTGACCGCCACTCATCCATTGCCAAATATATGCGGGAAAACCTTGCCCAAATCAAACATTACTTTGACCTGTGGCATCTCAAAAAGAGTTGAGTATTTTTAATCTTTTATTACAAATAAGTGTTCAAATTTCAGAAATCCCCCCCTCTAATGCATGCTGTGTCACCCAACTGGTGTTCAAAAATAGGATTAAATGTTTCTTTGGCTTCAAATAAACTGTACAAATGATGCAATATAGTTTTTGTTATAGTTAAATAAGTCAATTCACTGTAAATGAATACCCTTGCTCACCTTGCAATGCTTGATACAACCTGTGCCTCAGTCATTTGATGACATGTTTTGTATGTAAACAAGTATGTTTTCTTTAGAGATTCACAAAGTGCTAACCAAAATTAGCAAAGAAAAGGAATGTGAGCATCTGGCTGAATGGATAAAGCCCTGTGGAAACCATTTGATGTGGAGTGCAACATCAACCCCATCTGGTGATGGTAAATTAATATGGGCCAAATTTGAATCTTTCTTGTCACACATTGTCAATAAACATGCAGACCTTAATTCCAAATGGCATCTTCAACAAGTGTGCTCACGGAGAGACTATTTATGATAGGCGGTGGCTTGAAGAAGGTATGCATGTTCTTTATATTATCATTATAAAATGCAAACTTGTTCCCAGGGCCATTATGTTGCTGGAAGATGAGGGAAGGTCCTGGGTAGGAGGTTGCAAATGTTCAATACCTGTTGTACTGTACTGTAATATGAATAATCAGTGATCGAGAAAATTAAATTGTTTTCTAAAAGTATTACAAACAGGAAATGATTGTAAGAAACAATTGGTGGACATAAACTAAGGTCTATGTGGAAGGTAGATTAATTAGAAATGTAGGGTACATTGCAACATAATGCACCCCTGTTTAAGTCTAATGTCAGGCAATTTACTTGTCAAGGGGGGAGAGCGCTGGTGCTCATTGGGTTATTTTATCATTGGTCATATGTATATTGGTAATTTTGCAGATACAGCAGTTTATGAAAAGGTGTGCAAAGTGCTAAAGAAAACCTCACTGGTTAAAGGCATAAAGAAAGCATCCCCTATTGCCCAAACAAGCTGTCTGGAGGGCTTCCATTCAGTGCTTAACCAATTTGCTCCCAAAATGATAGCTTACTCATACCAAGGAATGTACTGCAGGTAAACGTTGCACTGCATTGTATGTGTATATACTGTAAACTTATCTTTCATTCTTAACCATTTGCAGGGAAAAATGTATCCATAGATCCTTTGGCAGTAATCAAGCCAGAGACCGGGCATTCTGGTGCTTGTGACCACACTGACAGAGAGTCCAGTTGCTAAGATCCAACTTTAATTCATATTAGGATGACTCCATTGGTCAGAGCACTGCATTAGAAAATACTACTGTATATTGCAAGCCACCATTTCAAGCTACGTGGTTAATTTAATACAAATATCTTGGTATTTAGGCACATAATCGCAGCTGTTCATTTTAACACCAATCTTCACCGGGATAATCGAAAAAATGAAGATGGCAGTGAGCAAATGAAAGTGGTTTATCCAAAATTTAAAAATGGAGAAGCTACAGTGCGAAATGTCAAAGTGAAACCAAATTATGGTATGAACTATTTAATTTCGGAACTACTGTACCAAGTGACTGAAAAACGTAAAGATGATTTTATTTTTATTAGATTATGTTGAAGAAATGTTCAACACTTTTGTTGATGCAAAATTAAATAAAAAATTAAAAGCAGCAAGAAAAGAGTTGGAGACAATGGCACCTGCTCCCATGAACACTATGCTAGAAAAGCAGCCACGAAAGGAAGCAATAGAAGCATGGAGAAAGAGACAATCAATGGTTGTACAAGAGGTCCCAAGGACTTTGCAAGGTACTGTGCAGTTTGTGCTAAGATATTCCTAAATGTGCCCTGCTGTAGTGTTTTTCTCTGCATGGGCGGATTTGCTGGGGGGGGGGGTTAATCCCGTAGAATCTCTCTAATCCCTCTTATAAAGTGTTCAACCCCACCAAAATTTTGCTTCACCCCTCCTATTTTGTGTGAACGCATGTAACCCTAACCCCAGCCGAAGCTTGCTCAGTGGTGCCACTTGCACCCCACTACAAATTTTTCCACCTGTCCTTTAAAAAAATGAAAATCCACCCTTGTTACTCTGTCTAATGCCATATGATTTTACTCGTCAAGGAGAGAGTCATGTGTATTTCTTGTCTTATAAGTATTGTATAATTTTCTTGTATTTTAGTTACCGAGTCCCTTTCAACCGATGTTGCACCTAAAAGGGCAAGATATTGTCGTACTTGCAAAAATCCAATGAAAGGACACAAGAATGTAACAGATTGTCCGAGAAACATGCAGACATAACTGTTTACTGTATATATTTGAATTAAATAAAATAGAGCCAAAATATTACACTAATCTTTTTGTCTAATTCTTTTTGAAACACCACCTATATTTATGTGGCAAAGCTTTGAATCAGTGTACCGTCAGTGCACTAAATTTAGACTTACAGATTGAAAGTTTTGCAATATATGTACGTAGTGTTTCCGCAAAACAAAATGAAGTGTAGTTAATTCACCATGCATAATGTTAAGTTTAGAAAAGCAATATTCTCTTCAATATTCTTGTTGCATAATTATCAGTCATCCATCTCTTCATCTTGAAAACCAATAAAATGTTCACCCTTTTCTTTTGGTTGGAATTTGCTTCTTATTGCATGATAAGCGCATGCTGGAAGTGGAATCCTGTTTTTACCAACACGGTCATACACCAGGTGTATAAATTCACGATATGCCACATTTCTCATGAACCTATTCAATGTTTAAGTTAAGTATTAAATTTACAAGTCAATGCTTATATGTGTGTATATATTAACCATATAAATGCAGTGAGTGGGATAAACCAGGTATGTTCATCTGTGGTACACTGGTACAGTAGATATTACTTGGCTTTTTGTCAGGGCTAAAAATCCCAAAATACTCTAAATATGCCCAAGAGCCTCACCCTCATGATTAGGTCGTTCAGAATGACCTGTTCAGAAGAATAGCTATTTACTGACAATTCATGACAAAGAGGGATTACTGGGCCAAGGAGGGGCTTGTACATCATTATCAAAAGGTGTTTTCCATTGACTTACGCCTCATCTGAACCAGTTTGCTGATAACTCCTTTTATCAATGGTTCTGAACTTTCCAGATGCCAACCGCAATGACCATCTATCAAGGCATACAGTATTAAATGCTGGATGTAATGTAATGCATTTTGGAGCAGTTTCCATGTCTTGAGGTATCCATTCATCTGACAATGACTCTACACATTTCTCCATGTCTTTACAACAGGAGCACTCGTTTGCATTTTGGAGGAATGTAATAGAACAATTACCACAAGAGCGTCTAGAATACGATTTTGGAGCAGTTTCCAAGTCTTGAAGCACCCATTCATCTGATAATGCCTCTACACATTTCTCCATGTCCTGACAACAGCAGCACTCGTTTGCATTTTGAAGAAATGTAATGTTGCAATTACCACAAGAGCACCTAAAAACAATATAATAAAGACATTTAGTTTAATTCGATAAAAATTGTAGCTGAGCTGTGTGATTGTGTTATTCATGTGTTCACAAATTGTCATAAAAATTAATATAAAACAACTTCATATATATTAACTCGCGTACCAATTACTAAGGCTCTCTTTCCCCACTAGCCGATCTTTCAAACTTGCCAGCCTTTGTTCTTTCTCCGCTTGTCGTAGCCTGTATTCTGCTATCCATTCTTCGTCCGCCACAGGTTCGCTTGAATACGGTTCAACATCAACACAGCTTGTGTGTTGATCCTTATCACCTTCGCCATTCTCACTGTCAGAAGCTTCCATAATCTCAGATTCAATGAGAGAATAATTTCCCGGTATGTAGTTAAATTCCGAATCATCGTCAGAAACAGAGGGACGATCCGAATCAGAAGACTTTGAAGACATATTTACGCAGTAAAATACAACAAACGAAGTGAAAACTAGCTAGAAATGCACTGAACGCGACTATAAATATGTATTTGTGTAAACAAATATGTCATTTCGACTTACTCCTGCTACGTCACAGGTACCAGTCCACAACGCGCTCGGTCAAATAATATATATCGTGCATTTTTGCAAGAATAAACTGGAATAAAAAATAATATTCCAAAAAAGTATTTCGATTTTTTACTTGTAGTTATCTATACTTTTCATTAATTAAATAAAAAAAATTGGGTGATATGCACTTTAACGAAGAGCAAAATGGCCGGTGGTTTGTCTTCTACAATTGATTCCAGCGAACATCACGTAGCTGAAATTCGTAACGCAATAAACCCTGACATGTCTGCCCTGGCCACGGTAAGCAAAGATACTGAAATTGAATCTCTTTTAACAAACTCACAAGAATAATTATTTATGCGGGATTTCAGCTTCCAAACGACTACACAAACGTCAAAACAGTATAATTTTTACAACTGTCAAATTCACTTTCACGGGTAAAATGTTTATAAATGTTAAAGTTAATATTTAAATTCGTGTTAGAACAGTTGAAGAAAACTTGTTTTCTCGATCATTTGTATTTTTAGACAAATAAGCCGTATATTTTCTAGATAATTTGTATTTTTATATAAATATTCTTTATATATTTTCTCGATAATTTGTATTTTTATATAAATATTCTGTAAAGTTTCTCGGTCATTTGTTTTTCTACATAAATATTCTGTATATTTGAAGTGTAAATGGGGTCAGTAAAATCTGTAGCATTCTTTCAAACGCTTATATTCAGTTGAAATAAATTTGTTTGAATTAATTTGTTTGATTTTGTAATATGACAACAGTTTTAAAAATATTCTTTCCTGGTCTGATTGGCTAATTCAGTCTTGCGAACACTATATTATTGTTCCATTTTCAGTAGCTTACGTGTTCTTGTTTACAATGCAAGCGTTTACCCTAAGTCCGATATATATATATATACATTATATATATATATATATATATATATATATATATATATATATATATATATATATATATATATATATATATATATATATATATATATACAAATAAATAATTAAGAAATTATTGAATTCGCTTCTCGTAGGATATGTGGAATTATTAAGGCCTCGGTTTGTGTTATCTGCCACAGCATTCGGCTTCGGTAGATAACACAAACCTCTGCCTTAATAATTCCTCATATCCTACTCGACCTCTTTCAATAATTGTTTAATAACAGCTAGTTGGTAAACCATAATCAGCCGGGGGAGTTTTAGTGTAAACTATTTCTAGTGTCTATTTATAAATGTTGAACTGATCAGGATCCAAATGTGCTGATTTTCGAGCAAAATTCTCCGGTGTTTCCCAGAGCCTCAGCAAGCCTCCACAGAGTATTGCAAGCTCAGATTTCGACATTGATTACTTTAAAGCCAAAATATACTCCATTTTGAAAGGTCGTTGTTGACATAGCAATGAAGTTGCGTAACCTCTTTGCAAACATACAAACTCTTTAGATATCGTTTTATATACGTAAGGTACTTTTTGCTTATCAACAAGTAATAATTGTCCAAAAATACGCATATAACTCGTGAATTTTCCATTTTTAAATCAATGTTTGGAAAATACAGGCGATGTATTGCTGCATGCATGTATTTCGATTCTATTTAGGTACATGTTTACTATGGCTGTTCCGCTTTACTAATAACTAATGCATGTCAAACAGATTATAACTTAACTAGAAATACATGGATCCAGCAACCCCTCGCATGTATTTTCCAAACGTTGATTTAACAGGAAGTATTAGTAATTGATTAAATCAAAGCTCACAAAATGCAGAACAACATACCTACTGTACACATTTCGGAAATTCATTGTTAAAAGCAGTAATCTTTCAACTATTTTTGGCGTGTTGTTCAAAAATATAATAAAAATTTAATTTGTCATGTTGCCATGGCAACACTGACGTAAACGCGAGACTGCGTTCAGTCACAGGTTCAGTGTTAATGTAAAATTTAACGTGGATCGCTTCGTAAAATGTTTTGAAATGTTAATTTTAATATTAAATTACTAGAAGTTACTATCGCAAGGAAAGTGCTGCCTCATCCCCAAAGGATCAAAGGCAGCATGCACAATTTGCTGAATAAGGGGCTGTTTATACGATCCCGCTTTGCCAGGACGAGATCATGGTCTACAACTGACAACATTTGAGGTCTGTTAATTAACCAGCATTTGAACTTTCATTTAACTTAGTGATTGAAATACATCAAAATCATCCCACTTTCCATCATGTAAACAGCCCCTAAGATGCCTGTTCAGAATGTAGGAAAAGCGCATTTTGAATACCAAAACCCTTGCACAATGTCGAAGGTTAGCTAAATATTCTAATTCTTATTAGATTGCCACTGAATACTGTACAATATCATATAAACAATAATAATACTTGAATAAATCATTGCACAAGTATAGAATTTAATAACAATTTCATACGGCACCTTGAAGCCTATGTTCACAGAACAACTTAACAATCTGCTGATGGGGAGACAAAATTTATTTGTTGACATTTTTGTTTAATATGTCAGCTGCAGATGATACTGTTCATGGCTAGCTTGCCACTGAATACTCTATAATATCATATATATATATATATATATATATATATATATATATATATATATATATATATATATATATATATATATATAAACAATAATAATACTTGAATGAATCATAGGACATGTAGAATTTAATTAGCCTCCTCCGCAGGCATCGCCTTTAGATTATCGGGCAAAATTTCTTGCAGGCAAAAAAACGAGATGCCTGCGGAGTTCATGTGGTTACGAAACTATATAACTGTTGATGTGTTCATGTGGCTACTAACTCTTGACGAAGGGCCTTCGCTCGAAATGTCGAGTTTCGGCTTGTTTTTCTCAGGTAATAATATAACTACTCAACACAGCAAGTCAGTCACATTGGTACTACCCACACTGGCAGTGGCGGAAATCTCGGTGGGGCGGGCGGCCGCCCCCCCCCCTTCCCACCTTCGTGGAAAATGACGAATTTTCGGAAATTTTGACCTAAAAGAATTCGAAGGCTAAAAACAACCTTTTCGAATTCAACTGGGGGGGGGGGGGTTGTCGGAAATTTGAAAGTTTTGTCGGAAATGAACTTGCTCTCCTTTACATTTTACCTTTTATTCTATAATTAAACAGGGTAATTTAGAAAACTTTAATAAAGCTTCATTGAAAAGGATAGCAGTGAATGTTTTTAAATCAACAAAATTCGTAAACATTAAACATTCAAAGCAAATTAAACTTGCCCTGTATTCCAAATCTTGCTTATCCCACTCCTGGCAAACAGCCATATTTTTGAGATCAGTGATGATGACCACCCACGGTTGGTGACCGACGCCCGCGCTCATTGATGAACTTTAGACTTGGAGTGACTTGGCTAATGCTTCCCTTTCCCCAGATGTAAATAGCCGGGGGGGGGGGGATTAGTACCCTCGCACGGCGTTTCGCGCCGTCAGCTCGGGGATCAAAAGCAACGTCTGAACATAATCTAAACGAAGCAAAAACCTCAAACTGGACTAGAATTACACTTTGTGGAATTTTTATGTCATTTGAATAGAGAAATCCTTTTTTGTATTGTACCGTGAAAATGTTCTTGGTTCCTACCATGACTATGTTCCTTCTTCTAGAGAGCATGAACTTGAAATTTATTCTTTATGTTGCCATTCAAATCTAATATGATCAATGTTTGTTTTGCAATTTTTTACATGAAGTATCAAATACATGCACAAAAGTGTTAATATATATTCAGTCACATGATGTGTTTTGATAACAACCTTGAGCGGAAGGAAAAAGCTGAAGCTTGGGCTAAAATAATAATGTATGATTACCTGCCTATAATGTGCTAGAATACATTCCAGGATTTTTGTCAAATAATTCTGTATTTTATTGGGAGTGCAGGTGTATTCGAAGCTTTCGTTAAGGTTACGTATGTCCTTCTGCTGTCGTATTAAATATAATAACTAATGTTAACCAGTCAAATTTCATCTGATATAAAGATTAAGTTGGACCTATCTTTAATCTTTAAATTATACTCTTAAATCAGCTTACACTACACTGTACAGGAAAGAACAATGTACAAAGAACACTACAGAAATGGAAAGTACAGTAATGAAGTGAGCACAGTACAGTAGTGAAATGGACAAGATACGAAGTACAAACTACTAAACAAAGTACAGTACTGAAATGCTATTATTGACAACGTTTTCCTGTCTACTTACGCTTGTTAAAAGCATAATAAGCTCTGGGTATAATCACAAAAGGCTTAATTAATACTGAGCTGAAACTAAAATTGACAAGTATTGTTCACTAGTTTTTTTATGGATTATAATTATTTATGCGTAAACTGAATATTTCCTGTAGGTTTAAGAATAAAAGAGAGGCATTCAGAACCAATTCATTTGAATCTCAGTGAAAAGAGCGTACACGTATTGTGGTTGAATCAAGAATTTTGAAGATATTTTAAAGCCCAGAGGTCAGTACTCCGCGACAGGACGGTCGCATTTCAATTACTTTTTAGCATGGAAAAAAATTTATATGAACCATTTCAAAATGTTTTATGGTAAAATAGCGTGATATCTAGTACTGATATGTATAAAACTTTTTTATTGAGCTCCATGGCTCGCGTTCTTTAAGCCCTTAATGCTTGCAAAGTATGCTCAGTGGATAACATTGAACAAATAGTTTTAAAAAAAGTTCTACTTCATGATATTACAAGCAGTGCGAGATTAATCACATGGCAGAAGCGGTATATGCCACTTTGCCCGCGCTTTCGGTGCCCCGCTCTTACTCTTTTCGACTTTTTTATTCCCAATTTTGGCGCATGCATGGCCCGAAACAAACATAATGTCCAACAGATACATGCTTTTAGGCTATTACCTGCTTTAAAATGTTAGTATTACCATATATTATATTAAGTAGTATGTAGCTGTCACCCAGTCACAGGATATCATTACTGCTGATTGTGCAACGCGCTGTTTGGGTTGAGTTAATAAGCTGGTTTGAGTTTTAGTTCAATGTATTGAATCATATTAAATATCCTGTTGAATATTTCAACGGATAAAGACAACAGGATAGTTTTATATTGTTGAGACTTTCTGGATACAGTGTTTAAAATGCAGTTGGTTTTTTTTTTGTTTGTTGGGGGGGATAAAGGGGCCCACATTGATAATACGACATAATTGTACCAAACGAAATGTTAATGCGGCCCTGATTAATTGGCCCGTTAGTTATTACAATTGTTTGCAATATTCACGATCCAAAGCACTGATCGTGCTCGTTTCTACAAAATAAATATATTCATTACCATGCAAATATACAATTGTCAATGCACTGCAATCACGTAGCTTCTCACACAATCCTCTTCGTGGTTCTATAGATAATAAGTATTGTCGAGATGACTTTCGCTTGGACTACCTCGGTGTTGTTGTTCACATTGGCTGATGCTGCAAAACAGGTATACTACATTTGAAAACACTTCTCCTCATTGAAATGATGACTACAATGAAGTTTAAGCAGTAGTTATTCAAATATCTGCATTTGTAGTGGTAGGTTTTTAATTCGCATTTGTAATGAATGCAGAAAGGTATTTAGAAAAAATAACCGATGAGGCCTAGCCCATTTTTCTCTGCCAAGCCAAATCAAATTAAATGTTAAATTTTTCTTTTTTTAGAAATCAAATTGACTCCTAAGTTTTAAATTTCTGATTTAAACATTTTGCGATCGCTTATTTCCCGAGATATAAAATTTACCTTGCCTTGGAGCAGCAAGTATGGGAAATTTTGAAGAACAAATCAATTTCGCGCATTGAAATAAAGTGCATGGTCTTAATTTATGACACCCTAAAATTTATGGTGTCAAATTCTAGCTGATGCCAGGGCCATTTCGCGCCTTCCAGATTCCGCGAGGATGGCCATGAGGACGAGGTTAATTCGCACGTCTTATAAAAATTCCGAAACATTTTATTTTAGGTCCACCGCAGTGTTCTTGAGATACTCGCAAATATTGTTTTAGTAGCTGAAACACAAACGAAAATTATATTGCGAGGACGAAGCTGTACATCATTTAACAATCGGAAACGCTATATTAAAACACCAACTCTGGAATGTAAAATTCCTTTATTTAATTTAAAATTAAACAGTGCTTTATGTCAAGTGACCCTCATGCAATTACTATGATATTGACTCGCCCAGTATCTAACAAGTGTGTCTTAAATATGAATGATCTAGATATGCATGTTTTGTTGAAATTTAAACGACTGTAATTTCTATTGGAGCTACTCTTTGCGTCCATTATACAAATTCACCGTCATCACACAATTATTTTGCTTCATTTAATTTTCTTTCATTAAGCTGATTTAAACTATTCTTACGTCTCGTTACAATAAGTGTTTTGGAATGTTCGAATGCGAATCTGGTTTTATGTTTTCAGAGTTCCACTGATTTATACATGTTTTCGTAAGCCATTGGAAAATCTTAAATTTTTGGGACCAATTTCCAACTCTAAAAGGATTTTTCGTTTTTCGCTTCAGTGTTAAATGCCAACCTTTGTTATAAACAATCCTTTCCATAAAGTAAACAAATGTCAAAGATATTAGCCAGAGTAAATGTCAACCAATAAATTTAGAAATCAATTCGAACAAAGTTACAAAGGTTTTCTCAAACGCTGGATCCCATTTAAAAAGCAAAATAACGAGTTGAGTCACATTTTACAGTTCCATCGTCAGCTGATTGCAATATAATATTATGCTACCTGAACAATAATGACAATACTATTTTCGCGCACCAGTAAGCTTTTAGCTCACTGCTTCGCTAAATGACTAACTCTCAATTCTCTAGTTATACTTATAAAACGTCCAACCGAAAACCTTCAGTTGGATATTTAGTATTAGAGACCTTAAGATAGACAACGGGAAACGACGACAGGGGCAGAAAAACCGCGGATAGACTGGGAACGAGAACGCCGTCGGGTGTTGCGCAACAGGTCCTTAAGATAAACAGCGGGAATCGACGACGGGTGCAGTAAAGTTTATAATAAACAGAAATGCTATAAATTTTGCAGAAAGTATGCGATGTTACGATGTAGATATTGCAATGGGCTCGTTCAGAGATACGAGAAACGCTTTACTTTTGGCTTACGACGAAGATATTATTGATGATGAAGAATTTGTGATTTTGTATGACCTAAATACTTCAAAAAATTCTTGTTTCCCATATGAAGAGTACGATGATTTTGATTTGGAAGCCATTGATGCTGTCGATTCAAAAGCAGAATTTCGTGTGGAAAAACGTGATATACCTCTTTTAGCCGAAGTTCTTGGCATACCAGAAAAGTTTCGATGTCAGCAAGGAACAATATGTGATGGATGTTTTTTTCTTCAGTTCCATTTCTTCTTTTCTTATTTCTTGCTGCATTTCATTCTTTTCTTATCACCTTTTCTTTTATGGGTTTCTCCTAGCTTTTCCACAGCTTTTTTTCGCATGTCTTCTGCACTTTGCTTTTCTTTCACCTTTATATCAGACTCGTATTCCACTTGTTTTGCTGAAGCATCTTCAATTTCTAATATGTCTTCCAAAGCATCTTCTACCTCAGTCATATCTGTGTCGATGCCGCTTGCCCGTTCTTCGTCTCGTAATTTTCTTTTAACTTTTTGTGATAGAAGTGTCTACCTATCCCTCACTGCTCTTGTGTCAACTTTAAATTTTGGGATTTCTATTTTTATAAGGTTATCCACAATCTGCTTCCACTGGGCCCCTCTTTTTTTTGGTCCCAGTAAAAGGGTCCACTGCCAATATTTCCCGGCACAAAATCAGATCATGCTCTTCTGTCCAAAACAAAGTCCTGTTAGGGTAAAATAAATACTTAAATATTTGTGATAATAAACAAACCTTGTAATGATAATAATGGCAAGAAATAAAAAAGAAATCTTCATAGATTCATACACATATTCAAATCAATACAATTTGCATGCAAATTTACATTATATGATCCATTATTAACCGCATTTATTCTGTAACAGAGCTTTTTTTCATATATGCGAATAGGAACGGTTTCCATAGTAAAAACTATCGCTTTAATGGCGATTGGAATGCAATTGTTTCAAGCCCAATAATGCGATATATATTTGCATTTACATTGTCATTTTATAAACAATAAACATCCAGTATGTTTTTTTAGGACGTTTCTTTGACGCCTTCTCTTTGCTGGCCTCTTGCTCGATAACCATTACAGAACTGTTAATTTATATACCAGTTTCTTCTATGCTTTTATGAATTTTATCTCGACGTAATCCCCACAACGTGAAATTGTAAGTTTTGCCGTAGTTGACGGGAAAGGACGGGAAACGCGATGAGTGAAAAGACTATATGCGCATGCCCAGATTTGTAATCGACTTCAGGCGGCCCTTCGTTCTCGTTTCCCGTCGTGTATCTTGAGGTGGCTATTGTCTTAGCAAACACCGTATTACGCTTGTAATAGAATTTGTGAATTGTCATGCTAAGGCTTCTTCAACGCAAATCAGAATGGCACATTCTAATTGGTAACATTTAAACCAAGTAGATTTTGGTTCGTAATTAGCTCAAAAGGTAAACAAAATGTTGTACTTTGGATTTCCTCTCGAGGTAACGTGATCGTAACCAGAAATTCTCATATTTTAAATCTTCAATTGAAATTCTCAGTTATCCACCTGATATCACGAACTTATTTGTATCTATAATTAACAGTTTCGGACACTGACGAATGTAAAATTTTAAATAATAGTCCAGTCAATCTGCGACCAGAGGTCAAAATAATTGCAATAGAATTTTTTTCAGTGGTGAAATGTGAGGGAAGGTGTCCTGATTAACCTACTAAAATTCCTAAAAAATCCCGTTGGTATAACATGGTGAAAATCAAGTTTCTCTTACTTCTAACTATAGAAAACCATTGTGGACAGAATGTTCAAATTTTGAAATAATTTTTAAGCAAATGTAACCTACATTATTTGAAAGGTTAAACAAAACTATATAAAGGTCAATTAAACCGTTATATTTGTATAGGTAATCACACGGGAAGGAGTGCAATTAATGATTAACACTACGAGTGATATTTGAAAAATGTGCCAAAACACATTTTTCAAATATCACAAGTAGTGTTAATCATTAATTGCACGACTTACCCGTGTGATTATTTATTTATTATATGTATGACAAAATCGCTTTCTTTATATTTCAACTGCATTTTGTCAAGAGTTTTTAATTCTTTTGTAAGCAATTTGGTATAAACAAACTTGGGAAATGATTACAAACTCATAAAGGCACATAACTTAAACTAGAACACAAGATTCAAACTCAAACAACATATTTTAGACTAAGAAAATCTTTATAAATTGTATTTCAAACTTACATAGTCACCTTTCGCTGCATCCCGCCAAGATTATTCCTTAAAACTGTTTCCAGGTATTTTCCACACGCTCTTTTTGTCATACAATGTTTTTTAAACTCATTCTTGTGCCAAAATTCAGTTAAATTCGTCCACATTTCTTAGAAATACTTATCTAAATTTCGCCGCCATATTGGATTTTGTTGTTTTGATTTCCCGCTCCCCCAGCCATCGCGAAAATCATTAATTGCACTCCTGGAGAGTGCAATTAATGAAATAATTGCATTTCTCTTAACCACTCAGATTGCAGTAATTTTGTCATGTATATAATAAAACTATTTACTAGCCAGTTTGTCGTTATTCTCACTCAAAGTTGGAAAAAATAGCGCAAAATTTGCACAAAATATAAATTTATGGCATTTTAAATATTGTATAACTTCGGCTGGATAGGCAAAAGCGATGTCACCGTTTAATTGATCTATATTTAGTTTTTTCTAAGCTTTCCAACGTTGCAGGTTGTTTGCAAAAAAATAATTTCAAAATTTCAATATTTTGTCCGCAATGGTATTCTGTTGGCAGAAGTAAGAAATTTAATATGTTAAACAGAACACCTTTTCTCATACTTTACCACCGAAAAAATCTATTGCGATTACTTTGATCAGGACCATGTACTTATAGTGATTTGACTGGACAATAAATTACATGCATCATGTGGCAAGAGATCCATAATATCTGTTTTGAACATCAAGTTGTAGTTCGCTGTGAGTTGAACAGGGCCAATAAAAGTCATTACATAGAGTCAGACATTCACGAATCAGTATCTACAACTCAGATCCATGCATGCATGCATGCATGCATGAGGTGTTGCCGCGTTTATTTTTCCAAATTGTATTACAAAGGGGGAAAGCCAGTACACAGGTTATCTCGGACATTTATAATCAATGAAAATATGAAAACAAACATTTAACCAAACTTTCAACCAAAAACAAACTATTAACCAAATGAACATAAGCTCTCTACCCTGGAAAGTAAATAGTGTATGCCCTATATTGAACACACAACATCAAATTCTCGAAATGGAGACTTTTTCAATAAGGGGGTACCTTTGTAGGTTATTTTCTTTTAGATAACGGACAGTTCTAAATTTGCCACAGACGTAATATGCCGAATATACAAGTAATTCTATTTTCAATAAGTGTGATTGTATTTTCTTTGTTTATAATGGTTGATATCCGGTTCATTTGCATCTAGCTGATACGGCTTTTGAACGTCATTTGTATTAAATAAATTCATGGCACAATTATTCATAATAATAAATCTCACAAGCACAATGTTCGCAACAATGTTCGCACAATGTTCGCATAAATCTCACAAGCACAATGTTCGCTCCTATGGTGGATCGAGTTAAAATAACTCCTTGAAATTAACAGTGCATATTTGGAGGTTACCATGGTCAACTAAAATGCATGACGACCATTCCAAATAAAACTTCGACCGTTTTAATTAATACATTTTATTATAAGTTCCACGTACATACAAATCGTGTTATTGAATACAAAAAAAATGCCCTAATACATTTACGTAAGAGTATTTATTTATTTCGACATCATATATACTACAAATTACCACGGATATTTCATCTTTCATTGCTCAACTGTCACTTGGCGATATACATTTGGATGAGCACGAAGACGGTCGTTTAAAATTATGCCATTATATTAAAAAATGTCTTGCCTAAAATGAATTACTTGGCATGTTACGTTCTCAATGTCAGAGGAACACACAATAAATCTATTTCTGACGTAAGCTGCTAACACCGCACTAGCATGTACTTCAGCTAATAATGGAGATAATTAATTTATTAAAACAACGCGATCCTCGAATTTACAATTCCTTCATTTCGGATTAAAGAGTACTTAATTTAAGCGAGCGACAACTACTGCTTTACCGACGCGCTATCGTTAGTAATAAAGTAAATCAATCAATCAATCAATCAATCAATCAATCAATCTGTTTAATTAAAACCAATTTGCAGTTTTTAAAGGAAAACTGAATTACATGGAGTACTAATATAGCATAAAAATTTATATTAAAATTTACATATATATATATTATATAAAATAATTTTTATTTAGTTAGGACTGTTAATTAACTATAAAGCTAATAATATTTCCTAGTCACGAAGTTTTTTAACCGTTCAGTGGTTTCTGACCATAAAGGTTGTTCGGCCATTCTGTCATTCCTTAAGTCATAATCATGAGTTTTTACCCCGGGACGAATTTCCATAATTTGGGTCAAAGGGTTGTAGGGTGAAACATCACGTCGCATAGATTCGACGAATTTCTTGCAAGAGATGTCTCTACGAGTACTCAGATACTGTAAGTTTGAAATTTCAAGGGCTTCATCATATAACAGATCTGGATAAGCTATACTCAATGCTCTCTTTTGAACAGATTCGAGAATGTCAGATAATGATTTAGGTATTGACGACCATACAGGGCATGCATATTCAATTCTGGATCTGATGAATGAGATATATATTTGGACAATGTGAGATGCTTGAAGACCAGCCTTTTTTAACAGACGCAAAGCGTATAAGCGAGAATTTGCCTTTTTCAATACCATGTCGACATGAGTATTCCATGACAAGTCGTTTGATATCCATACACCTAGGAGCTTGAAAGAGGACACAGTTTCCACCGGTTTACCTGCAACATAGATCGGGTATTCATCATCAGATCCTTTATATTTAAGAAAGTTGATCAACATTTGTTTGCATTTCTTATAATTTAGTTCCATTCCGCGTTCTAAGGCGTAGTCCGAGATTTCATTTACGATTAATGGCATTAAACTGGGTGAAAAACGAGGTATAATCTCTAGGGCTGAGGTGTCGTCCACAAACTTGATCCTACTGGGCCAGTTTTTGAGTAAGGAATTAACGAGAACAGCAAACAATAATGGACCCAACTTTGTACCTTGTGGTAAGCCACCATTTGTTTTCTTCCAAGAGGACATAGAAGTTCCCACCCGGACACATTGTTCGCGATCGCAGAGGAAGGCTTTAATCCACCGAATTATAGAGGGATGGGTACCAAGCAGGGTTAACTCTTTAATAATAACATTGTGGTCTACTAGGTCAAAACCTTTCTTGAAATCTGCAAAGAACAATCTGGCAGTACAGGAACCTCTCTCAAGAGCAACCAAGATTGAATGTAAAAGGTACACCAAAGCGTGGGT